AGCAGCCAACTGTAACAGTACTTCTCTGCTGCAGGGAAATGCATAGAGGAAATAAATATATAAAAATGACTCTAGTATTTGTGATGCCTCTGGATGCAGACCTGGGCCATTTAGAAACAATTAGCAAACATCAAAACTCAATTATCTAAATGTTAATTTATGACCTAATTTCCGACTGGCTTGAGTCATTAGGAGCGAGGGGCTTTTGTTTAATGGTGAGCTCTCAGGTGTAAATAGTTGGGCTGCATAAGCCTGTAGATGGGATCAAAGATCGTCCAGAAATATGGTTCAGGATGTGCATGTATATCTGTTCTGCTGTTGATTGGAGGCAGAAATACCTGATTTCTTTATCTTGTCCCTTTTTTTTTACCTTAGACACAGAAATAAATATTCAAATTCAATTTCAGAGAACAATGTAAAGCAGCTAAAATGTTTTTCTACGTCAATTTGTGTTCAAGTTTCCAGTCCAAACTTTATACATTTTAAAATTACTTGTAAGCTCTTTATCTAATTTCCAAACATATTAAAGTTTAATCTAAGAGTGGAAAAGAAATCTAGCAGTTAGTGAGATCTCATTAGAGAAAATATGAGCTAGTTTGAAAATCTTTTCATTTTGACAGCTGCCGCCCTCACAACTGTTTAAACAAAACATTAGAAGACTTACTTTTAAAGCATATCCAAAAAGCACATAAAGTCTTAATGAAAGTAATCATTGCTACAGTTTATGCTGATCTTTAGTCACTAAAGGTCAGCAGTTAAATCATAATAAGACTTATTTTAATAAGACTTCTTTGTGTGAGATGACTTTAATTAAAAGTATCTTTATCAAAAGTTTAATTCAATTAAAATGAAGTTTCAGTTGTTTTTTTTAAGAGTACAGAAAATCAAGGCCTAAAAGTTGATTGGATTGTTTCTGTGTGTCTGGGATTCAGAGATTTAAAGCTGATTATGAACAAACAGTTTTGATTGTCTTGTTTTGACATCTTTGTTCATATTTCTAGCCTCGTGAGACCATCCTGATCTCGCGAGCTTTCAAGGTTTCACTCGCAGATCAGTCTGGAGACTCTCCGTTGAAGAAAATTTGGAGCCGTTCACCAAACGAACGTCCAATCAGCGTTGGCTTTGAGGCGGGTTGAGGTGTGACGCAACGAGAAGCGAGACAGTTCAGTCGAAAGAACATGGCGGCTTCAGCCGATGAAACTAGCGTTAGCGTAGCTATCGAGCAAGTTTTATCGGAATTACAGAGTATTTCTTCACTGAAAGAAGAGCAAAACACTGCTCTGGAGGCTTTTCTCAGAGGAAAAGATGTTTTTGCTCTTCTCCTGACTGGTTTCGGTAAAAGTTTGATCTATCAATTGGCTCCTCTTCGTCGTCGCTCTGTTAGTACGTCATATGCTTCGTTGATCTGATTGGTTTATTTGGCCCGTCTATCACCAACATAGGCCAATCAGCTAACCAGTATTTTCGCCCCTTCCCAAAATTACTTCAACGGAAGGTTTCCAGATGGATATGCGGAGCAAATCCATCTGGCGGAGTCAGGTTAGACTGTCCCCACCAGGGTTGGCACGATACTAAACTTTTCAACTCAATACCGATACTAGGTAAAATATTCGATACTCGATACCCTTTTCGATACCACAAGAATAAAAACAAAGACTCTAAAATTCAACAGAAATATTTTCATTACTAAAAAAATACAATAAATAAATAAAAAAACAATAAGAATAATATTTTGAGGTTGTATGCTGTGCACAATATTAGGCAAGCTTGATAAAAAAAACTTACAATATTAAAATTATGTGTTCTTTCCTTGGCTATGTTTTGCAGACATGACAATGACACTAGCCAAACCATTTAAACAAAAATAATTCTCAGCAGCTGCACCTGTTTCAAAAAAGTCTGAAACTGAAAAATGCACAGAATTATTCAATCACACAGGGCTCAGAAAGTGCATTTTTCACTGTTCTGCACTTTAGATGGCTGTATCGATACTTTTGAAAATGAGTATTGTATCCGGATACAACGTTTCAGTATCTATACTTTTTTGAGTATCGATACTTTTGACAACCCTAGTCCCCACCAGTCCTTCAAATAGTTACACCTGTGGATTTCAGAGAGAAATGTGCTGCAGCAGACATTTCTAAAGTCGGTCCTGGAGGGCCGCTGTCCTGCAGGTTTTAGAGGTTTCTCTGCTTTAGCACAGCTGATTCTGATGATTGCAGTTCAGCAAAAGCTTGTTAATCAACTATCAATGTAAATCAGCTCTGCTGCAGCAGGGAAACCTCTAAAACCTGCAGGACAGCGGCCCTCAATGAACCAACTTTAGACATGCCTGCTTAAGACTATCAAGGGATTCTAGAGAGAAATGTGCTGCAGTGTCAGAAAACTTCGTCTCCACTGGTCAACAGGATGATGACCTAAAACACAGCTAGAATGGCTAAGAGGAAAATATTGGACTGTTCTGAAGTGGTCCTCTATGAGCCCTGAACTAAATCCTACTGAGCAACACGCTGCCGAAACACGCCGTCTGGAAAAGGACCCTTAAAAACCTGAGAGAAGTGGAGCAGTTTGCTGATGAGGAGTGGACCAAAATACCTGCTGAGAGGAGCAGAAGCCTGACAGTTTTAAGAATTGCATGAATAAAATGATTGCCTCGAAAGGTTGTGCAACAAAAATTTTTATCTAAGGGTACCATCATTTTAGTCCAGGCCTGCTTCATTCGTTTTATTTTTTAATCATTCTGATTAAGCCTGGTTTGTGGTCTGATTTTTGTTTATTCATTTCATAAATTTTATTTATTATTACTTTGTATTCAAATCCTTACTGCAACAATTTCTATAATTACTATTAAACAAGGGGCACCAACAATTTTGTTCACTTTATTTTGTGGTTTGGCTCTAAAATCTGATCCACCTCCATGTTTTTTTTTTTGTTTTTTTTTTTTATTTTATTTTTTTTTTTCCTCAGAGGTGGAAAGAGTACTTAAAAATTGTAATTGAGTAAAAGTATCTTTACTTTGCCTAAAGTTTACTTAGAGTAAAAGTAAAATTACCCGTCTCAAAATTTACTCAAGTAAAAGTACAAAATTACTTCATTTAAAATGTAATTTGAGTAAAAGTTACTTAGTTACTTTGAGTAATTTAATGCAAAAAAAGGATGAGTCATGAATCGAATTGAGCACAAGGGGCCGGATTTATCAAGATCCAATTTTGCGTGCAGTAATTTGCGCTCGCAAACTGGAATTTTGCGCGAGGGGCTGAACCATGGTTTGCGGGTGATTTAACAAGAGCGATTGCGTAACTGTTGGAGACGCCCTATTTAAATTATGGTTTTGCGCGTTTTGTGGTTTGCGGCAAAGTAGTTTGTACAAACTAGTGCATTAAGAAATTAAATCTTACAGTGACCCCAAACAAAAAAAAAAATATATATATATATATATGTATATATATATATATATATATATATATATATATATATATATATATATATATATATATATATATATATATAAATATATATATATATAAATATAAAGAAAAAACTTTGGCAACCTTTATTCCCTAAGGTGGTATGTGGCTGAATTTCTACTTCACTGCAGTAAAAAAAACAAAAACAGGTGTTTTGTATCGGCCTGTAGAAAAATGCACATACCAAATGGCTCACAAGAAGTGACTGTGGATAAGATGACTGCGCGTACGCATCCCCGCAGCATTGGCATGTTGCTCCACAGGCGCAGGGGGGAGGTCGGGGTTCTCCGGTAGGGCGTCAGGGCGACTTGGCATTTAGAACGTCGGACAGCACTTCTGAAAAACTAGATTGGGAGATCCAATGTTGCAAGGAGTTTCGTGATATCTGGTATTGCGTGGGTCCTCCTTGTGGCTGGCTCCAAATCCATTCGGAGTTCCCCCAACAGCTCCAAAATGGCAATGCTGGATAAACGATATGTTTTGATCATCGTTTCCTCGTTCTTTCCAAAAATATTCACGCGGAGTGAAAAAATGCGTTCTCTGCGTCTCCTTGCTTCATTTCGATGTCTCCTTCTTGCGACAATAACCGCTGCCATGTGTGCGCAATTACGCATACAGACCATTTGCACCTTCTTTTGAAACGTGTTAAATATAGAGTCAGATACCGTTAGCAAAATTGCTTTCAGGTTTGATAAATCACTTTGCGAGTGCTAAATTAATATATTTACATGTTCTCCTCCCACAAGACGCACTTTTGCGTGTAAACGCCCCACATTGCATATTCATGGCAGAAAAAGTACTAGATGGATAAGAGGCGCTATTTAGCACGTTTTAAAGACCAAATCCTTTTAGCACGCTGTTGATAGATCAGTTTGTACATTTTTTAGCGTGCGCAGTGAAATAGATCACGTTTTTATACACGCAAACCTTTGATAGATCCGGCCTAAGGTGTATTAATTGATTTTAAGGCGTATTTCAGTGGACATCCACACTTGCAAAAGATCAGCTGGGCTAAAGAACAAACTTCCTCACAGCAGGACAGTCACAACCTGTACCATAAAGTGCAAACAATTTTCACTCATACTGTCCAACAGACAACACCATGATAGGAATAAAGAAATTTAAACTACATTTTAAAGTATTGAAAGTGCACACAAAATGAATTGCCCAAAAGATACCAGAATGTGTTTCCTCTTCAGGCCTTTCCTCATCCATACTCCCTAAGTTGTGATTAGCAACTGCCATCTTCCAAAGCGCATCACTGGATTATGAGACAATACAAAGGGTAAATGCAAGGCAGGGCCACGCAAGTTAAAATTTCCGGCCGCATTAAATTTTTTCACCATCAGTATTTTTATTTTTATTTTTTTACTCTGTAACGTGAGGGGGGTTTTAAATGTAGCGAAGTAAAACTACTTAGGTTAAAATGTACTCGAGTAAAAGTAAAAACTACACTGAAAATTACAAATTACTCATAAAAAGTACTCAATTACAGTAACGTGAGTAAATGTAATTCGTTACTTTCCACCCCTGGTTTTCCTATTTGTTTTGTTCTATTTGTGAGTAAATCAAACTCTTCATGTGATTCATTTCAAGATTCACGAAACATTCAAATCCAAACAGATTAAACAGAAGCAGCTCGTTATCACCAGCTGCTCATTCATGTTGATCACCTACATTCACAGCCCGATCCCGCCATCAGCAGCTTCCCCCTCGGCGAGGAGCGTCTGACCGCCTTCACCACCTCCACACGCTCCTCCTCTGTCAGGTAGGGATACTCACCATTGGAGCCCTGAACCACCAGACCTGCAGTGACAGAACACATTTGTTTCAGTGTCAATCTGTGATTTAAACGTCCGTCTGGGTCTTTGATGTTACTAAAACCCTTCTTAGAAACAGTCCAACTATGCAGCAGCAATGCATGAAGACAAACCGTGGGGTTTAAAGGGTTTCTAAAACAGAAAAGTAATTATGAACCTACATAGATATCACTGTGGTCATAATTAATGTCAGAAACAGCTACCTGCTGCACATAAGCTTTTTATTAAGCCTTTTAAAGCACAGATTATGCCAGAGGTGATAGAAATATGACTTGTATCCTATTTTTCTTCAAACTTGCCTTTACTGCCGGGATCAATAAGCAACAGAAGGCGGAAGTGTTGAGAATGTGGGAGAGACGCTTAGTGCTGATCCAATCATGTCTCACTAGTAACAGTTATTTAAAAAAATAACTCAATGTATGGAGCTCTGGTACCTAAAATACTGGATCCTTTGGATTTTTCTCTCGTCTTCACTAAGATGAAACATATGGAGTGAAATGACTCCATATATTTGATTTTATTTTATTATTATAGACTCAAGGTCCAATATACATTAAAAGAAAACAGAAACACTAAGAGTAAAAAAAAGAATAAGAGTACAACAGAGAAGGTTCCTAACCCTTCAGGAGGCAATTATACCAATGTCTCCAAAGCACAGATGAGTATTTAACTGCACTATATTTGACATTGGTCATCCGTAAAATAATTCTATTATCAGACTCATTTAGACGACAAATAAATTTATACATAAGCTTTCTCAAAACAGCCATAAAAGTCCTGACACTAACAGATACAAACAATTCACTGGCACTGGTCCATCTGGGCTTATTTAACAAAAGTCTTAGTGCATCATCATAAGCCACCTTCAACTTATGAAGGTGGCTTTTTTAAAGTTGCACCAGAAATGTGCCGTATATACAGTGATGAGCAATATGATCTGAACAAGTTCAGTTTCACTTCGTCAGAACAGAATCCAAACTTCCGGACAAGGATATTTGCCAGATAGTTTAAAATTGGGAAATATTATGTTTTTGTCCTCTTTAGTGCGACAGATCAAAGTGATATTATATATATATATATATATATATATATATATATATATATATATATATATATATATATATGTACGGAAATGACTGTCATTAAGGCGGACCTTCATAAGATGAGTCACAAACGGAGCAAATGTCCCCAAAGGGCCATAAATGAGACGTAGACATTGTAGATCAACATGTTATGGGATCTAACCATATTGTGCCCAAAAATAACTGACATTAGAGATGCAACTAACTTAATTTTGCTAATTAATTAATCTGCTGATTATTTTTTGATAATAATTGAACAGCAAAAGGATTCTTAGAGATGAATTTTTACAGAATTAAACCAAATGAAAGTAAAACTTCTCATCTTCAGAAGTGCTGGATAGAACATATCAGCAAACAGTTTAAAAAAAATCAAATACAAAATATTTATGTAATTTCTTTGCAATTTTGGTATAAGTACTGCAGTAAAAATATATATTGTGATTGGAGGTAGTTTACCTTGTTGAATCCTTCATAGTTTAATAGTTTCATTTGCTTTATGTAAAACATTGGATTTAGTGTTTTTTTCTCCAATATAAACATTTTTATTTATATTCATTAATTTTTTTGTCTTTAATTGTAAGAGTTTGTAAATAACTTTATATAATGATATCTTTATTTACACCATTTTAAACAATAATACAATAACTTAGTACCTGAGTGGCCTTTTTACCATGAGCTTTTATTTTACCATTACTTGATGTATTGGAAAACTACTTTTTACTTTTACTCAAGTAGACATTTGTAAAAGTAGCGCTACTTTTATAAATAAAAAAAATAGTCTAAAAAATCCTTTGAAACCAGTCTATTTTAGAAGTCAGCTTAAAGGTATAGAGGACGATCTTTTGTTTACAGGTGGATCATCTAAATAATTGGTCCTCCTAACTGTCAATCATACTGGTAATATGTTTATGTAAGGCCATCTTACGTGCTTATTCCATTGGCTATCTTTTCTGCGAATGCGCACCTTCAGGCGTATATCTGGGTGAGCTGTCCTTGCAAAGCATTATGGGATTTGATGTGACAGCGCTCGCTGTCGCCATAGGCTGTCGCTACCCAACAGCGGCGACTAATAACAAAGATGGCGCAGTGGAGGAGGAGTTACGTGCAGAGGCGTAGCCAGAAAATATTAATAAGGGGGGCCAATTAATAACCAATGTAGACTAAAGCGTGGCCGAAAGTGGATAGGCACCAGAACCTCAGAGTCAAGCTACACTGTTCCAACAGGAAAATTAAAAAGCACAACATCCATATTTTCTAAATGAAGACAAACTATCCTTTCCTACAGCTTTTGTAACAAATAGACGCATATATTTCGTTATCCTTGCTTACTAGATAAATTGTATAGTTGATCAAATTCTTTCAGGTTTGAGTTCTGGGGCAAACATCTTTTCCATTGTCATTATTTACCTACTTTTATCAATAATCACTCTGCATAAAATTGATGTTTACAAGTGCTAATATCTAGATAAATTGATTATTTATTACGTTTTTATCAAAATAAGTTATTTATGACTGATTTCACTGAAGACTCCTAGATGACTTGCAGAGACACATAATTTTTTTTCCCCATATAAAATAAAATGTAGTTCTGAAAAGAGCATGAATTCTGTTCTTATCTTTAATGTTAGTATATTGGTGAACATAATTAACCACAGTGTTTTTGTTGTCAAGTAATTGTTAATATATGAAAAATTTAGATGTTTTGAATATTCCACTTGAGAGTATTACTGCTGCCACCATCTGTATTAGAGGGAAAAAATTATAGGGGTGGCCAATGAGTGGATAAGGCCACTCTTGGCCCCCCATCTAGCTCCACCCCTGGTTAAGTGACAAATAGCAAAAAGCAGTGATCATCTGTCCGAATGGTCAGTTAACTGAGATCACTATAAAGTCCACTACATAGTCTCCGCTCCTTAAAGTGATTGAGGGATTTAGGGGTTAAAGCGGACCTTCGGACATAGTAAACTTGTATGAGCTATGAGAACAGCAACTTTTAAACAGAGCGTGCACGAGGAGAAATGGGCTTGTGCACGCCTGGAATCTTTTAAAAAAATTGCAAAAATCCTCCACAATACCTTTAGTATAAAAAAATAAAAAGTTGTGCCTGCTGGAGTACAGTGCTGCCTATTCTAAGAGGAAGAGCCCATCTAAAATTTTAGTTTTACTACTTTATAAGTCTAAGCTTTGGTTGACTGATCTTTTTTATTGCAAATTAATGTTAAATCTGGAAAAATTTATGTTTAAAAGGGGGGTTAGAATTTGAGAAAATGTGATAAAAATGTGAATGAGTAAATCCTTACATTTCTCAAGCCTGAATGAAGTCAAAATAAAATATTGTAGTACCATTTTACGAACAGCAGGGGGAGACAAATCACATAAGTGGCCGGTAGGAGATTTTGCCTTTTTCTAACATTAAGTCGGATCAGATGCAGTAACTGTAAAATATAAACCAGGGACTCTTCCATGAGCTTAAACAGAGCTTGTAATTTATTAATGCATTCTTCTGTTTCAGCCTCCAATCTGTTAAATGAACAGTGTCGTTACATTTCACAGTGTGTTTATTTCTGTAGAATCTGCTCTGAGAGCGAAGTCCAACCTTTAAAAGGGATCTCTGCATATTTCTGCAGGTTTTCCTCCAGCTTCTCATAATCCACGTCTTCCTTGGCGGTGAACGGAGTGGCAATAGGCGGATAAATACCGCTGAGATCCAGCCTGGAAGCGGCTGCTGTCTGACTCAGGCCTCTTTTCCACGCTCCGTGGTACTCCACGCTGCAGAGGCGGGCCACGCGTGTCCAGGCCCGGACACAGTGCATGGCGGGGCGGTCAGAGTGGATCGGTCTGCTCGCTGCGGGGCTTCCTGTGGGACTGCCTGCAGCTGCTGCTCAGTTAATCTCTAACTGCAATTTAAACATTAGTCCGGAACTTATTTGAAAGTCTAAAAGTTGAGCAGCCACGTCCCACTGTGGGCGTCATGTGACGGCTGATAGTCCCTAACCTTTGAATCAGGGAACTAACGTGCCGTTTAAAACTACCGCAAACACCTTTAATTATATATATATAAAAAAGAGCAATAATCAAATGTTGGGGTGTTTAGCTCCGCCCACCTGAGAGGGAACTGCCATGCAGCCAGATTAGAGCTACAGCCATTAAACAACAGATTAGGGCAGTGCTGTATCTATCGGTGAGCAGAAGCTGCAGTTGCTTAGGGGCCCCCAACTTGTTAGGGGCCCCATCACTGACACCTGCTGGGTCTCCTTCCCAATTATGGCCTAGGACGTCTCTTTGCAAATGTAATGGTACAAAACATTCCTCTGAAACCCAAATTATGATAAATTGACTGAACTTTATTTATTCCCCAACACATGGCAGATTTGTTCATGATCGTGAGCCGTTTAAACGCAACACCAATAGCAAAGCAGACAGTGATAGTTTTAATTACTATGTTAATAACTGAATAGTTCATTAGACGGTTGGTAAAAAATACACTCATATAATATTTTTCAAACCGCAATAAAGATCTTTGAAAAACATGTATTGGAGTATTTTACTTTTTACACTACCAATTGGAATTATGGGTAATCCAGAGTAGATTAAAACCATAACCGATGCCTGCAATCTGTTAGATACCAAAAAGAGGCACTTAAAGGAATAGTACACCCAAAACATGATTAGCCTTCATTTTCTACTCACCCCCATGCTGAACAACACTCTGGAGTACTTTTTTGATATCTCAAATGCATCTGGAGATCTGGGAGGCTTCTTGCTGTCTGCTGACATTCAAATAATGGAGGTCTACGGTGTCCGAGACAGAAAGGTCCATAAAAGTCCACAAAAAACGTGTCAATATTCCTCCATACTGCTCGTCCAATGTATTCCAAGTGTCCTGAGTGGGTAGCGTCCATAATTTAGTCGAAACGAAGTCATTTAGAATGTTTTTAGAGCATAAACAGTAGTGTATAGCATTTCCTGAAAGCGCGTTCACGAGCCTACGGAAACCGCGGCAGACCAAACCAGACGAAAGTGCGCATTAAGTTTCTGCTCTGCCGATAATGCAAGCGTAGAAGAAGAAATGTGCTGTTTACCTGTGCAAAGAAAGAAACAACGAAAGAAAAATGTCTGAGGATTCAGTGTTGAGGAAGAGCATGAGTTCTTTGCCGAGCTGAATGCGCACTTTCATCTGGTTTGGTCTGCCGTGGTTTCCGTAGACTCGTGAACGCGCTTTTAGGAAATCCTATACACTACTGATTATGCTCTAAAAACATTCTAAATGACTTCGTTTCGACTAAATTATGGACGCTACCCACTCAGGACACTTGGAATACATTGGACGAGCAGTATGGAGGAATATTGACACGTTTTTTTGTGGACTTTTATGGACCTTTCTGCCTCGGGCGCCATAGACCTCCATTATTTGAATGTCAGCAGACAGCAAGACGCCTCCCAGATCTCCAGATGCATTTGAGATATCAAAAAAGTACTCCAGAGTGTTGTTCAGCATGGGGGTGAGTAGAAAATGAAGGCTAATCATGTTTTGGGTGTACTATTCCTTTAAGCAGTTTCCAGAAAAGCAAAAGCAAAGAAGAGCTGCTGGAAGAACAAAAAAAAAACTTCCCCAAATAAACACGTTCTTTCCAAGTACCGAAGAGGCGGAGGTGGAGGTTGCTGCTGCATTGAGTAAAGCAAATGGGTGTTGTACTTCATATGGGGCCCACCAAGATAATGTTGCTTACAGGCCTATTGTTGCGTCGGTACGCCATTGGATTAGTACGGAGCCCTCTAGGGGACATGGGGAATTTTTTTTTCTTTTGCGTTCCCTCGCAAAATTTTGCGTTACCTCACAAATCCTTTTGCAAAAGTTTTGCGTTCCCACGCAAAACCTTTTGCGTGAGAACGCAAAACCTTACTTCGGTAAAGTTAGAAAGATATTCACAGATTCAGACTTCCGGGATCGACAACTCTCGTTGTTGAAACACAAATGGCGCCTCTTTCATGTCCTGATAGCACAGACTACGTATTACAAGAATCAAAAAGCGTAATTTTTGAGAAAAACGAGCCTAACCCATCCAAGCTGGATGTATTACATTGATTTCTATGCACAGGCAGTGGCCAGGCCAGTGGTTAGGGACCGTCTGCAAATGGTAAAACAACAGCAAAACGTTGCAAATAAAAATCAATAACTCCACTGCCATATAGTGCAGAGATTCCAAAATCACCACACACACCAAGGGGCTCTTGGTGATCGCACTACAACAGCTGTTTTTGAAAAAGACACCTTTACTTTTTTTTTTTTTTGATTTTTTGTTATTATTAACCATTAATACCATCCTATTTTAATCAATAGATCTGTGATTATACAGTGCAGACACTCAAAAATCATCAAACAGACCGAGAGACTCATGATGATCATACTACAACAGCTGTTTTTGAAAAAGACACCTTTTACTTAGTTTTTTTTAGAATTTTTTTGTTATTATTAAGCATTAATATCATCCTATTCTGGCAAAAATGGCCGCTCTCAGACACAGTGATTGCGACGGAAATTATTTTATTTTATTTTTTTTACTGATTAACAGCAAATTCATTAAATCACAGCGAACATATTAGTTTTAGGTATAGATAACGACTTATTGGTTATTCTTTGGTGACCCGACTTTACCTTTAAATCAAAGGGAGGCCCACTTAGAAAAGTTTGAGAAGCAGGGTTTTAATGCATGAGCTCCAGGGCCAAGTTGTTGCTTTGGACCTTTGGAGCTGCAGTTCGAAGACTCCGGGTCTAACAGGTGAAAAATGTAAATCTTTCACCTGAAACTTTAAATTACTGAATCTATAAAGGCAAGAACTAAAATTGGTCCAACAAAAAGCAAAATGTTGGTCTTCAGTCCAGCTAAATAAAAATGTTTAGAGCATAAATGTTTCAGGACATTTTAAAAAAAATGACATTATTTAAGATAAATTTATATGTACGGAAATCAGTGTCAGTTTTCAAAGGATTAGTTTTTTTGCTTCTATTGTTTTAGCTTTTGAAAAAGCCGTAGGCTTAAAAAGAGAAAAAAAAGTGGATAAATTGTGTTCTATGAGATGTGAATATTTATATCTAAACACAAAAACACATATATTTTTTTACAATGAAAATGTTTTGTATTTTAACCTTTACACACTACTCTCATATTTGAATTAGCTCATAACTTTGATTGTTTTGTCTACAAGGCAGCATATTTATAATATTTTGAAAATTTCCTTCTAAGCTGACTATTCCAACTATTCAAAGAAAAGTGGAGAGAATAAAACCTGTGGCAGGATCCTCAACAACCTTTGATTGGCAGGTAGAAAAATTGGACTAATTTAAGGAAATAGGTTATGATAAAGTACAACCTCGCCTAATTAGTCTATTAGTACAGGTGACCTATTTAAGTGGCGAATAAAAACAACCTGCCTTTGTCTAACTAAGGTGGATTTCATGGGGGTACTACTCCGTGTTGCGCTGCTGACATCCTGTGGACAAACATTTAAACACATTTGAATCCTGATCAAAATCATCAATTTTCCTCAGAGTTTGTGACCATAAGCGCGTGACTGTAATCGTTTAATAGTTTCCCTGTTGGCACCATTATGGCTCGTCTGTTTTTGATCATCAAAAAAAAATTATATATTTTTCTTTCTCGGAAAAACCAACAAGCTTGTTTTAAACAACATTATATAGAGCTAATACAGAGAGAGGGGTAAATGTTGCCACTGGGGGCACTGGTTTCATAAGTTTTATATTAAAAAGAGAATAGGTTTAAAATTGTTTCTTCATGCCTCAATTTCTTATTTTTAAAAAACATGTTTTTTGTTACTTTGTTATAGTCTTTAAAATAGCAACGTTTTCTCATAACTTTACATTTTGATTCTTCTTATTGCACATTTGAAATAGTAAATAGATGTGATGATGAGTTACTCAGTACTTAAATATCTTTTTTACCAAATCCTTTTTTAGTATTCCTAAAGTAATGCTACTCTTCTGGACATTTCGGGGTATTTTTGAAATACCCTCTTGACATAACCTCTGTGGGAAACGAAATGGATGCAAGCTTTAACTTAATTTCTAACCATTAACTTTTGTCATAATCGTCACAATAGTCAAGAATCCTCTTTCTCTCACTGCTTAGCCAGGTGTGTTGGAAATTGGTAAGCATGCAGAGGGCCGACAGGTATAACTTTGTCAAGGAATGGTGTGGACATGTCCCCACCAACATTTGAAATATGTATTTCAATTAAAAAATACTATTTTTTAATTTGTATTTTATTGAGATTATGTGAAATACCTTCATGTTTTGTATCAAAATACCTTAGTGTTGTGTATTTTTGTATTTTCAAAATACTATAAAATACTTTTTGTAAGACACAGTCTGGGATGACATCTGTCTATAAAACATGAAACAGTGTCTGGAATTTTTGCACTATTTCACACTTGCTATGAGCACATTGCACGATCAACACAAAACGCACAGTGCTGCATGTTAGTGTCATGATCTGGCCTGTTTGCTCCTCCTTATTGATAATCTCTTTCACCTGCAGTTTTCCCTCCCTGCCTTAATTATAATTTATTCCTCTCACCTGTTTCCTCTGGGTTATACAGTATTCAGTTCAGCCTGAGCATTCAGTTCCAGATCATTATTTGTCTTTCTATTAGCTTTATTCCTTGGTTCATGTCCTGGATCCTAGCAGCCAGTGGAAAGAAGGTTTTTGTGTTTGTCTTGTCTCCTGATCGTCCACTGTTCCTCCCCCGAGGAGTCCTCTAGGTTTTTGGCTCTATATGTGGGGAGGTTCAGTTTTTATTCCAGTAAGCCTGGCTCCAGGGAGGAGACCAGTTTAAAGTTCCTGCATCAAGTTCTGGTTCCACGTCCTGTCTCGGCTACCCTCTGCCACTGAGCCTGCCTGTCTGCCTGTCTTCCGGTCCCAGTCAGACTCTGAACCCGTGTGGGAGCTCTATGATGCTTGGGAGCCTGGATCCTGCCACCTGTCTGTTCCAGCCTGATCTGGATCCTGTTCTGTCTGTTCTGAATCCCTGACCAGGATCGGCTTCCTGCAAGACCTCTGGAACTGCAGCACTGGGGACATTCTTGGTCTGGACTGTTAAACCAGGTAAGTGACCAACTCAGTCATCTTCTGTCAGATGATCGTGGTCACTTACCTGTGTTTCTCCCACAGAGTGTCTGAGATTTGGCGGTGCCCCGCCCCCCTCCTGCAGTGTCCGCGAGCCTCAGCTCCATTTTAGTTATTGTTTTGTTATTTAATAAACGTTTTGAACTTTCCTACTGACTGTCTCTCCTTGAATACTGGGTCCATCTGTCCTCGGTTCATGACAATTAGATTGAGTCACGTATCTTCTACTTAGTGCTTTGTCTGGACCAGTCAAGGAAGTTTTTTCAAAGCAAGATGAGCAACCAAATTTAGCTAGTATATTTCAGTAACTAATTTATTCTCAACCATGAATCACTCTTTTTATATAATTTTCCTGTTCAGTGTAACAGTCAGCGTTCATAATGCAGTCAATGTTCATAACGCTAGTCTGAAAATCCTGGGCCATCTCCAGTCATCGCAGATTCTTTAACTTCAAAATATCCTTCTGTTGTGTCCATCTCAGAACAATCTGGTGATGCAGCATTAGGATTAAACACTGATGCAACAGACCATGCTGCAAACCTGTAACTGTTGACTATCCTGCACAAGAAGCAGCTGACAGAAATTTACCCCAACATGTGGGTTGCTCTGAGAATCTCTGCCACTTTTCCCAAGCTTAAACTCATTCAAACATCCCTGAGATCTGCCACAATGAAAGAATGTCTTAGTGGACTTTCCATCATAGGTTCTAATAATGTGATTTCATATGAGTTGTCATATGATGATGTTATAGATCACTTTTCTGCAAGATAGACTACTAGAGTAAAACTGTAGCAGGAGGTGAGGTTGACTAGGGATTGCAGCATTTTTTTTTATTACTGTAAGGAATTTTTTTATAAACCCAATATTTTGGCAGTGGGTGATGTGCGTGGGTGATGAACGAGCAGCAGAAAATACAGAGACCCGGATCTCTCTATTTCAATGGCAGCCATGGCCATCATCACAACTCTCTAAACTTACCTTAGTAAGAAATAAATGGGAACTCAGATTATGTTCATCAATGAGATGAGAAACTGGCCCATTTAACCCCACACCAACATACAACTTTTTCATATTACTTAGGTCTGGAACAGAAGACCTTTAAACATTAGAAGGTATGTTTTAATAAACTTTGATTATCATTTACGAATATCAGGGGCAGAGGCAAGAGTCGTTAGAACTCAAAATACACACCCCAGTTCTTATGGCATTACAGCGCTGTTGGGATGTATCAGATTAAGTCTAATTAGATGCAATGATTTTAAACATTTTCTACCATCCATTAATCAATCAATCAGCAATCATGTAAAAACAAAATAGTGTATTTTGGTACTCTTGTGTTCCCAACAATAGGAAAGCATTCGCCAAAACCTTGACAACCCAGGGTGAAGACCAAGAAGCGTCTTAATTTAACACACCACTCTGCAGCTTCTCTACTGTTACCCACTCATTGATCCATCCAGACACTGCCATGCCCACGACTAAAATCTAATAAATTAGAAAAGATTCCCAAAACTAATGCATTCAGGTTGCTTAACCACCAATCCTTGGAGCAGCGGTGTCAAACTGGTTCCAGAAAGGGCCGTGTGGCTGCAGGTTTTCTTTCCAACCAAGCAATAGCACACCAGACTCCAGTCATCTCATTAGCTCATCATATTCAGATTGAACTCACTTGGTGAGATGACTGGAGTCTGGTGTGCTATTGCTTGGTTGGAAAGAAAACCTGCAGCCACACGGCCCTTTCTGGAACCAGTTTGACACCCCTGCCTTAGAGTGTCTCCACCAAATTTGATCACAGAGTAACACCCCTGAGAGAGAGCCCATATCAGTCATACAGAGTGAGTGTGATCACCTGTCATCTTCTAACTTATTAGATTTTTTAAAAATGTTTTATCCCTGAGCAAACATCTCCCCTACTTCTATACCGCAGCTCTGTCTCCTGCTCATTCAGCACCACGTGCATTCTTCTTCAGCTTCAACTTAAGCTCTATTTATTCTCGGAGCTCCTTCTCATGTTCCACAGAACTTTCTCCAATTAGCCAGTGCTTGTAGCTTGGACAGGACTCCTTTATTCAAAAGAGCCTGATGGCTTCACACAAAACTCAATGTAGTTGGTCACACAATCATCCCTATGTTGTTATTTGTATTTATTAAAGCTGTATTAAAGTTAGTGAATTTAACATATAACAAAAGTTTTATTAGATCCTCACTATGGCACAGTCAGAATGGGTTTAGTTTTTTACTGCCTGATTTGCCGATTTGAGAGCTGGCAGAGGAGTTGGTTTGCATTTTATACACCCAAAACATGTAGATGATGGACCAAGAAAATCAGTGTTGGGGACAATTTTTCCCAAGAACTCAACCAGAGACAATAGGTGGCGTTTGGAAAGTTTATTTAAAATATGAAGCTGCCGTAGGTGAGGAGGGATTCATCAGGGTCAGCAACCGGAACTTCTGCTAGCCCATGTGTTTTGACCAGTGGCCGGTCAGGACTGGCCTGGCAGTTACTAGGAATTAGACAGCATCTATTGGAGTACACAACCCAGGACAGAGAGTACCGTTCAGCAGACACAGGAAGCTGGCACTGACGGGGAGCATAACCAGAAGGGGGAGGAGGCAGGCCCTGCTCACACTTGAGCCTAGGGTGTTCAGTGGGTGCGACAGGGAGGCAACCACACAGAAACAGCTTCACATTCATCCAGTCACATTCACAAAATCCTACCCTTAAACCAATAAGGACATATACAAGTGCACAACAGAGACGCACACAGAGGCATTTATTAAATACTTTGCAATAAATTATGTATTTTTAATGAAAAGTAAGTTCATTTGAATGTGCTTAGTGTCATTGTCTGGCCTTGTTCTGCTGCTTTAAAGGAGAAATCCGGTCATATTCAGCATTCAAACTTCTGAAATTAATTCAAATGTAAAATTCTTACATACTGTTCAATAAATAATAAGTGTTTTTAATTAAGAGTAATTTTCATTTGAATGTGCTTTACTGGAGGCATCCATGTTTGTCAAAGAACACTACTGCCACCTACTGGCTTGTGACGTCACGGTGCGGTATCGGCTGTTGATCAAGCCTCAGTGCTGTATCTGGTGTTTGTCACAACGCGCTATTATCCAAGTCATCTTGAAAACATTCTTCTTCCAAATGTTGGCTACATATTACGGGTTTTTTCTCTGGCCAGAAGTTCGATGGCAAATCCTCCCTCTTCAAGTTGACAATGAAAGTATATAACCCATTTTTTTTACCTTTACCTGATGTATTCCCGCATCCAGCTGCCATGCACGTGGGCATTGTCAGTTTCACTATAGCTCTGGTGAATTTCAATGGTGAAGTCCTCTGGAAATCTTCAATAATTGTTGTTGATTGCAGATGTGTCTAGTAGTTCCCATTGATTTTGCTTGTAAAGTGGGGAGAATGGCGCTAGGCTTACCGCACCGTGACGTCACTGCTGGAAGATGTCAGGAGTGAGCCCAAAAACACATCACTCTGTAATGATGTTCAGTCATTAATAACTATTTACTTTAGTGTAAAATCCTTTGAAATATGAGAATCAATAAGTTCATTTAAACACAAACTATGTGCTCCTGATACTGGGTCAAGGGCTGGGGCTTGGAATGAAGTAAATTAAGTGACATGTTGTTTTCTTCAATACTTCATCAGTCAATCAAATTTGATGTTAAAATTATCATAAAATTTAGTGTTCAGCCATAGGGGCCTAGGGCCCCCATAAAACGTATTTTACATGTATGGTTAATACAGCTATTACTTATTTGTGCACATTATGTTTTTAATAAAAAAACACTTTCATCAAAATGCCATCAGAAAGCTTATAATATATATCTTGGGCCCCCTCCCCCTTCAGTGTTCACCACATTGGATCAGTGCATTTGCTACACGTGCATAAAGGTTCAAACAAGCAGCAGCAAATCATTTGAAAACAAACGGCGGGAAGAGCAGTGTTGCCAACTCAAGCACTTTTATTACAGAAAAGCGCTTAGCGCCAAATCTAGTGACTTTCTTCTGCTGGTGGAGACTTTGGCAACAACATATAAAAGCAGGGAACTCTGCTCTCCAGAGCATGTAGATTCGTAACCCAACCTCCTGCTCTCCTCTGTTTTGTCCGCTGTCAGGCTTTATGCATCCATCATTTCATTTAAATGAAAAATGGAGAACAGATAAGCAGATCATGGCTTGTCTGTAGTGAAACGAAGGACTGGGTTATTTACTTTTGCTGAAACACAGAGAGGAGCAATCAGCTAAGTTAGAATGGGCTTTGTGTTTCGAAATTCTTTCATTCCTTTTGAGACAGCATTAAAAGTCAGCGGAGCACATTGCCAAAATGAAAAGAAAAAGGGACAAAAGAAAACATAGAGAGGAAAACGGTAAGAAAAGGGACAAGAAGAGAGGGAAAAAAGTAGAATAATTAATGTATGTCTATTCTATTAAAATTTCTGCATCTGTAGAATGGGTCTGTTTTATGTGTTGTCTTCTCAATTCACAGGGCCCCCTGCCTGTCTTTGCCTAAGGCCACACAATTTAAAATTCGCCCCTGGTGAGCTATAAAGTCCGCTTATATCTCGGATTGTTGAGGAAGACCTGCAGGATTTATTATCAACCAAACGGGAGAAGGAAAGTAAATTGAAGACTTTCACACATTGCCTGCTGTTGTTCAGAATAGCATCATAACTTTATTTAAATGATGAAAACACCTATAATCCCCTGTGGGAGACCTGTGACGTTCAGGTAAGAAGCTGGAGGTTATTATTAGAAAGTGACGTAATGACGTTGATGGTGCATCTCCTCCTTTGATGCATCGCTAGAATCAGCAACGTTGTTAAAGGTCCCTCCTTTTCCCACAAGCACCGGAACCAGGCGGCACCACGTGACTCCCGATGCCCAGTTGATCACACCGCATCATGGCTGCGGAGGATGCGGCCGCGCGGTGCCGCCTCGGGTCCCCCGCGTCCTGCGGGGCCCCTCTCTCTCCGTCCCGCTGTCTGTGGATCCTGCTCTGCCTCGGCGGGCTGCTCCCCGCTCCTTCTCTCTGCCTCCTCGGCTTCCGTCCGGAGGAGACCGGAGCGGAGCTGTCCGTGGCGGACGGGGTGCTGAAAGCCACGGAAGGGACTCGCTTCATTCTGCGGGTCTACTACTCCACCTCCCCGCAGAGGCTGAATCGCACCGCGGGGACCCGTGCCAACAATGCCGCGCCCTGGATCGCCTTCATTGAGGAGCCGAGTCCTGGCAGAGAGGGGCAGGTCCACCCCAAGAGGAACATGTGCATGGACAAAAACGCCAGGACGTCCGACATCGAAGTTTTAGGTTCCTTTAAATCTGCTTCCAGTCAGAACTCAGTGCTGGTCGAGCTGCTGGCCAAAGACCTGCGGAGGGGGGAGAAGATTAAGTACTACTCCATGTGCGCCTTCGATGGATCCAAGTGGGAACACTACCGGACCAGGGACTTCTGGGTTGCCGTGACAGAGCGCTCTGCTGTGCCGGAGCTCTGGTTGCAGGTCCTGGTCTCCGTCCTCCTGCTCGGGCTCTCTGCTCTTTTCAGCGGACTGAACTTAAGCTTGTTGGCGCTGGACCCCGTGGAGCTACAGGTCCTCCAGAACAGCGGCACCGACAAGGAGCAGAACTATGCCAGGAAAATCGAGTCCGTGCGTCGGCACGGGAACTACGTCCTGTGCACATTGCTGCTGGGCAATGCGATCATCAACGCGTCTCTGGCGGTGTGGATGTGCCAGATCCTGGGCATGACCTGGCTCTCCACTGTCATTTGCGCGTTCGGCATCTTCTTCATCGGAGAGATCCTTCCCCACTCCGTGGCATCGCGTCACGGTCTGGCCATCGCGTCCAAAACCATCTGGGTGACGCGGCTCCTCATGGTGCTCTCCTTCCCCATATCTTATCCCATCAGTAAACTCCTGGACCTCATCCTTAACCAGGAGATCTCTAACTTCTACACCAGAGAGAAACTCCTGGAGATGCTGCGCGTCACAGACCCGTACCACGATCTGGTAAAAGAGGAGCTGAACATCATCCAAGGAGCGCTGGAGCTGCGCACCAAAACCGTGGAGGACGTCCTGACGCCGCTGACCGACTGCTTCATGCTAGCGTCGGACGCGGTGCTGGATTTTAACACCATGTCAGAGATCATGCAGAGCGGATACACCAGGATCCCGGTGTTTGAGGACGACAGGTCCAACATAGTGGGCATCCTCTTCGTCAAGGACTTGGCCTTCGTGGACCCGGATGACTGCACTCCGCTGAAAACCATAACCCAGTTCTACAAACACCCGCTGCACTGCGTCTTCAACGACACCAAGCTGGACGCCATGCTGGAGGAGTTTAAGAAAGGTGATGAGGGCAGTTTGGGATGTTAACCTGCTAAACCGAAATCTAAACTAAAATCTATCCAAAGTTTATGTTTCAGCTTGTAATACCTTTTTTTTTTTTTTTTTTAATCAGTGAACACAAAACTACGGAAGAGGATTAGGGCCACTGGGAAAAAAAAATAAAGATAACTGATTTTTAAAATTTATTTCAGTTTAACATGGGGAAAAAAGTCAGAATTCTGAGATTAAAGACAGAATTCTGAGATTAAAGACAGAATTCTGAGATTAAAGACAGAATTCTGACGATAAAAAAGTCAGAATTCTAAGAAAAAGGTCAGAATTCTGAGATTAAAGACAGAATTCTGAGATTAAAGTCAGAATTCTTACTTTTTTCTCAGAATTCTGACTTTAATCTCAGAATTCTGACAATAAAAAAAGTCAAAATTCTGAGATTAAAGTCAGAATTCTGATAAAAAAAGTCAGAATTCTAAGAAAAAGGTCAGAATTCTGAGATTAAAGACAGAATTCTAAGAAAAAAAGTCAGAATTCTAAGAAAAAGGTCAGAATTCTGAGATTAAAGACAGAATTCTGAGATTAAAGTCAGAATTCGGACTTCTTTCTCAGAATTCTGACTTTAATCTCAGAATTCTGACAATAAAAAAAGTCAAATTTCTGAGATTAAAGTCAGAATTCTGATAAAAAAAGTCAGAATTCTAAGAAAAAGGTCAGAATTCTGAGATTAAAGACAGAATTCTAAGAAAAAAAGTCAGAATTCTAAGAAAAAGGTCAGAATTCTGAGATTAAAGACAGAATTCTGAGATTAAAGTCAGAATTCGGACTTCTTTCTCAGAATTCTGACTTTAATCTCAGAATTCTGACAATAAAAAAAGTCAAATTTCTGAGATTAAAGTCAGAATTCTGATAAAAAAAGTCAGAATTCTAAGAAAAAGGTCAGAATTCTGAGATTAAAGACAGAATTCTAAGAAAAAAAGTCAGAATTCTAAGAAAAAGGTCAGAATTCTGAGATTAAAGACAGAATTCTGAGATTAAAGTCAGAATTCTGAGAAAGAAGTCAGAATTCTGACTTTAACCTCAGAATTTTGACTTTTTTTATTCTCAGAATTCTGAGATTAAAGTCAGAATTCTGACAATAAAAAAGTCATAATTCTGACGATAAAAAAGTCAGAATTCTAAGAAAAAGGTCAGAATTCTGAGATTAAAGACAGAATTCTGAGATTAAAGTCAGAATTCTGACTTTTTTCTCAGAATTCTGACTTTTTATTGTCAGAATTCTGAGAATAAAGTCAGAATTCTGAGATTAAAGACAGAATTCTGAGATTAAAGTCAGAATTCTGACTTTTTTCCTCAGAATTCTGACTTTTTTCCCATACTAAACTGAAATAAAATGTAAAAATCAGTTAATTTTTTTTTCCCACTGGCCCTAATCCTCTTCCGTACAAAACACTGTTAGATATACAGTATATTTACACAAAATGTCCCTTAATGGCTGCAAACCCAGAATATTTGGAGGAACTGATACTAATAATGATTCTAACAATACTGAGTTTAACCGTGTTTATGAATCAGTATATGACCTTACACTGCAAAAAAAGAAAAACATTTTTTTCTTAAAATAAGTCAAATTTTTCTTGAATTCAGGAGAAAAGTGAGACACTTTGCCAATGGATCAGGACAATTGGCTTTTAAAATAAGAAAAAAACAACTGCATCATCTTATTTCAAGTGCATATTATATCAATATCTTATTACAACTGTAAAAATACTCATTCCATTGACAAATAATCTTATTTACCAGCTAAAATCTAGGCTAAAAACACTTAATTTAAGATTTTTTTAAACTTATTTCTAGATAATTTTTGCAGTATTCTTAAACAAGACTGGAGATGGGTCTGGGAGGGGCAAGTTTCTGCAGTTCAGGGCCAGATGTGAGGCTAAATGTGGGTATAAATTCTCTAAACCAACACATAGTGGTGCATCAGAGAGGAGTGTAAAAAACACCACGAACATATGTTACAGATAAATGAATCAATGAGTTTTTATCATCCATATAAGGCTGACTGGTTACACTACAAATGAAACACTTCTCTTAATCAATTAAAACTCTGGGTTAAAATTGTAGGTTTCCTCACAGGGTTTGATGCTGCAGTGCATTGATTCTTAAAGGCGTTTTCTTTCTGTGTGAGCTACATGTTTGGACTTAGAGATACAGAGGGATGAGATGTTGAATTTATTTATACATAATGTCAACTGGTTTAATTATTAAACTGGATAAATTGATATAGCATTTACTCTAAACATAATAATTTCAGTAAATTAATTGAGTGCATAAAATCACTAAATCCAGCTCTGTAGAAATGTGTAAAACTTAATGCTATGAAGTGAAATTTAACAAATACTAAGGGTTAATTTAGCCAGTTTTGTTTAGTTTGATGAATAATATTGAGTCACCATCATTGGATTTCCTTGTTGGAATCAGATTCTCTCAGAAACAAAAGTGAAACCAGTTTATCTAACAGTGAAATAATAGAAATTTTTACTTTTTTATGGTTCTTTAAATCAATTAAACAAATTCAGCTAATTTATCATAAAGTCTAGTTATAGAAGAGGGCTATTTGTTAGAATATGGAAATAAAAACAATCACTAACCATTTAAAAGTGACCATGAGGTATCTAAATATAACTATATTCTATGGTGCTAAAGAGCATACAAAAATATGCAACTAAGCATCCTGGGAAATAACAGGAAGCCAACCTTCGTTAACTGCAACAGACAATATGAATTTGCATAAATATGTTTTACCTTTAAATGAATAGGATTCCATTGATTTTGGTGGATTATCTTTACTTGAATTAAAATCTGTTGTTGTTTTAATACATTAAAACGTGATTTTAGGTCCCAGTTTTTTTTTTTCTTACACATGAAGCAACCGTCGACACTATTAATTAGCATACACACCTTTTCAATATTAAATAGGAGAGAGATGTTGAAATCATTCCTTTCTCTTTCCTTGTTTGGAAATCTCTTCTGTTTTTTTTTTTTAATTCAATCTAATCTGCTTATGTTTAGCACAAAAACACAATTTTTGATTGTAATCTGATCATAGAAGAGTTACATAATGCAAATGACATCACTGTTTGATTTCTCAGAGTGCAGCCTCCCGTGTTCTGTGAAAATTAATCCTCTTAAATGTTCTGTTCTCCTGATTTCTTTAGGTTTATATATCGTGTCGTTAAGTTTAGTGGACGAGTGAGGAGAATACGCTTGTGAACCAACAGCCTTCTGTGCCATCAGGGGAACAGATTATTTCTCTCATCAAAATAACTTTGGGGAGCTCTTTGAGTGTCTTCTTGAACCTAAAGTCACATCTTTGTCTCAGCAGTACAGAGCGATTTCCATTCATTTCTCTCTGAGACCTTGTGCCTCATTTCCAGTTTTAGGACACCTGCTGTTGCAGGTAAAGCTAAATTGATTTATTCAATGAAAATCATTTTACACTGAACTTGATATGCATTTTTTTACACAATATCAACCAATATTATTACATTCTCTAAGAATATGAAAAAAAAATGTTGAATGAAGAGTATATGCTTAGATAGAGCAAACAGATGCAGGTTATTCGTCTGAGACACGAGAGAAGAATGTCAAAGGAACTAAAGATGCTTAAATAGATCCAGAAGATGTCAGATTTCTTTATTTTCAGTGAAACCTAATTACCTGTTTCTCTGAAAGTACCTTTGTGTTACATTAAACATCTAGCTCATCTTTCCAAAAAAGTAAAAGAAAAAAGTAAAAGAAAAAACAATCAGTTGGACTTTGTTTCCAAGTTTTAAGTGGTTTTGCTTCTCATCCAGGAAGCTTTTTCAATTCAAAATGTCAGAAATAGTGTTGAGTTTGATGCTTTATAGAGTCGACCAAAAACAAAGCCTTGTGTGGATTTCCTGGATGGAAAGCGAAATATCTTCGAACTTGCAAACAAAGTCCAGTGGATTGTTTGTTTTTTTAACTTTTTAGAAGGACTATGAGCTGGATGACTGAGAATCTTCACCAGCATCTAGCTGATCTGTTTCTGGCCTCATAAAATCTGTTAGAGAACATATTACACTGAATGCATTATCAAGAACAAAGAGCACAACACACAACATTCTTTTAGAAAGATATCCATAGAAACATTTCAAGAATTTATCACAGATTAACCGTGACCACAGTAATGGAAACAGAATGTTCTACTACTGCATGTAAAGCAAGATGTATGGTAGAAATCCAACACTTAAAAAATCCCCTGAAACGTCTACTTCCTCAGTGAAACATAGTGGAGGCAGCATCTTTATGTGGGGATGCATCGATGCTGCTGACAGAAGCATGAGGTGTTTAAATAGCTTTTTAATGGATATGCTGATGAAGGTTCTCAGTCATCCAGGTCATATACCCCATTTACACTACCCCTGAAAAACCGTGCAGAGACCGAGCTCAGTAACTGAGATAACTTATCGTGTGTAAAGGGAAAGCAAACTGAACTGAACCGAGCTAGACACAACCGGACCAAGCTAACTGCAGACCAGTTCCAGAGGTGAGCTCGGCTCGGTTTTTCCCTGGCTCGGTTCTCTGATAACAAGATCACATGAGCAGAACGCTTCATCTCCGTCTGGCTGCACATCGCGATTCACACTCCATTCCAGTAGTTGGCGGTAACGCCCCTCCAAAAACGGAAGAAGAAAAACAACTTCTTCTTCAACTATAAACAACAATCGAAATGTTCTCCATGCAACATTTTAAATAATTGCATTTTAAATAACACCGAAGTACAGCAATAATAATCAAGCATAACTTTCTGAATGTGACGGGCGCCGCCATTTCGATTTGCTTGATTCCGTCCTTCTTCGTCTTCTTCTTCTTGTGTTTTATGGCGGTTGGCAAACAAGTTTTGGTGCATTACCGCCACCAACTGCTTGATTTCCTCCTTCAATACCGGCAGTAATACCGCAGATCGTCACTAGGAGGCGA